AAATATCATGCATTTTTTTTTTTTTTTTTTTTTTTTTTTTTTAAGTTCTAGGCTAGAAAGAGGAATGAAATGTTAAACCTCAAACCTCATTTCGTTAAATCTTACAAACGACTTTTTTCAACTGAAATCTTTTACTATCAGATTATTAACTTATTGAATCATTTTTGGAATTAACGATTCTTAAATTATTGAGAAAAATGTACATCCCTAGGGGGGGGAAATAAGAACTTCACTCTTTTCCAATTAAAATGATAAATTATTAGAACAAAAGAGCCGTCAGTTCCGAATGGGATATTAGTTTCGAAACGGCATTTTTCTTCGAAACACTTAAATGCATTGTATCACATTCCAAATTGTTGCCAACAAATATTATCGCCCAGTATTTTGTTTAAAGGAAAACAACGGCTCCTAGAGTCATCAAATTTTGAATTCGAATTTATTTCATTCTCTGTTTCATATTTTGTAAAACTTGACGTATTTTTGATTACCACTCAACGATTTGTAGGCGATTAATGGTAACACTGTAGGAAGAAAAACATTTTTATTTCTAGCACGCGAGATTATCAATCGGAAATTCGAACGATATGCTGTTTTTAAATATTTTGTGATATTGCTGTTGAATTGAATTTTTTGTGATTCAAGTACGAAGAACATGATATTTAATAAATAAAGGTAACACATAAAACGCCCCTTTGGGCGTAATATAAAATCTGAAAGTTTTCAGATATATTATTTTTTATTTATAGTTTATTTTTTAATAATTTTTTCCCATTTGCCGTACTGCTGAACATTTATTTATCTATATTGTTAGTGCTTTAACTTACTTGTGTAAATCTCTCTGTGGAACACGAGGAGTTTAAATTAGAGTTAACAAAGGGGAAAAATTATTTTAAAAATTTTCTTACATTTTTATGCTGAGAAATCCTTAGTGGAAAAGGAGAGCTTTTATTTATCAAAGTACTTTTAAATACGATGAAAGTAAAATTAATAATTAATGTACGTACTATTATGCGAATATATTTATTAACGTACCCCACGCTGGTGTAAAATGAAATTAAATACAAATATTAGCTGATTAAACATTGGCTGAATCTACCTAAAACGTTCTACAAATATTTAGAGTAGAAAGAAAACACAGATCAAACAGAATTTAATTAAGAAAAAAATATACTGAAAATCACTGGGGGGGGAGGAATTTGCATAATTTAGATTTCATTAACTCAATAAATTCCATTTAATGTTGGGAAAGAATTTCTTTATTAAAGGATAAAAATTAAGAAACTGGAGATTACGTGATCTACTGGGAGACCGGAAGAATTAATGCAAAAAGTACGACTAAATAAATTAAAAGAATTATGGTATTATGATTTAATATAATTAACTCTGTTGAACTCAAAAGGACAGAAATCTAGATAATTTGACTATAGATAAAAATGTACATTTACCTGTTTTTCGCAGATCTACACAGAAGTCTGTTTTATACAACGCATACTAAACTAAACCATGAATAAAAACGTACGAGAAAGGTGGAAAGTATATTTCTGTTGAAACCAACTTTCAATTTAAAAAAAAATGTTGCATATCTAAAGTTATTTTGCGAAATATTCTATACGAAGTGTACGTAATTTCCATCTTTATTATCTACTATGTTGAAAATGTTAGAATGGGTGAATTTTGTAAGAGGTTTTGCCCCGGGCTTCCAATTTTACATATTTTACATTACTTCCATTTACCTGCAATGTTTGCAGTTGAAAACTTTTATAGAAATTGAACTATAAACAGTTTTTTAACGTAAAGGAATGTTATATTGAGGAAATATTTTTATTATTTAAAACATAACACATTTTTCACTAATTCTGTGTCATAAAGAAAAAGTTACAATGTGAGACATTTGATCTGTCTGTCTGTTCGAGAAGTTTACTAGTTTTAAAAATTTTAAAAAAGAGTGTTTATATAATCAAAAAAGCTTAACAGTCAGTTGATTGAAAAGAAACAAAATTAAATGTGATATGCAAATTTCAGTATAAAACCTAAACTATTTTGAGCTAAGTAGTTATTGTAGGCCTATAAGGTATTTCTCTCACCTTCCTAGCGTGATTTTGTGGTGTAGTGGTTTTGCTCGCTGGGTCGGTATTCCAGAAGTCTGTGGTTCGATTCCCAGCAAAGGCGATTACTCATTTTTCATCTTCCCTGCTTCCAAAAACAACCTAATGTCTCTACAGGCCTTCTAGTTTGAGGATAAATCAGAATACTTTTTATTAAAGCAAATAAAACCGAAAGCTACTTGCGTATTGGGGAAAGATAGCATCGTGGATGGAAGATTGTTTTAAGACGAACTTGTTCGTATTCATATCAGGCATGCGGAAAACCACGGGAACTCCCATACAGCTAGCCCGTTCTCTAGGATTTGAACCCGTGCCGCACCGCAAGTGTTTTGCGATGGTATCTTTCGGTCGTTCGTTGAGTTCCAGTTTAAAAATGATCACCAAAGAAACTCAACAAATAAAACGAGAAACTGTACATTTAAAAAGAACCGCCCAAATGGGAAAGTGGTCAGTAACTCTGACTGTCGTACTTAAACGCCTGGGTTCAAATCCCGAAGAAGGTGTGGATGTAATTTGTACGTTCCTTCAGAGCAGGTAAGGGTAGCCCACCTGTTAAGTGCCTCCACAATAAAAAAAAAAAAAGCTGATGTGGATACCACATAACTTCCTTATACAGCTTATTAAATTATACACCTTTTTGTTGCATTTCATTTAAAATTATCGCCTCGAATTTCATTAGAGATATATTTCTCATTCAATTAATTCAGTTCTCATTTCGCGGCAAGGCAAAAATACATAAAAACTCAAAACACCTTCGTTGAAAATGGAAAAACATAAAACACCTGAAACAGTTAAAAAAAACTATTTTTACAATTAAAATTAGATTTTCTACGCAAAAACAAGCAATTCGGCCAAACGGGTAAGAAGACATCGTTTTCAAGTTATGCGAGATACATAGATACCTACGTAAATACGTACAGAAGTCACAAAAAAAAAATCTCTTCTTAATCCATTTTAAATCCATTTTACAATCCGGTTTGGGAAAAAGAGTCCTTTATACTGTCCTTACGTGTAGGTGCCACGCAAAAAAAATTGTTAAATTGCATTCGATAGCGATCAAAATGGATATTTTCGTTGAAATATGATACACGAAATTTTTCGCGATTACAACATTTCCTTTACTTCTTACAAGGAAGTAAAAGCCATTGCTTCCGGCCTTAGCAGTGGCGAACGCTATAAATGGCTAGAGCCCACCATTGAAAAAAATATATATTTATGAAATTGTGTAAAAAATAGCAGCGCAAAATGTAGACGTTTCTACAATAGTTTTAAACTGTCAAATCTGCTAGGGTTGATGTTAATAACGTAAACTATTACACTGGTCGTTGCTTAACTAAACGAACTATGCAGTTTTAAATTTACATAAAAGCAAAGCATCTATCAATAGCTAAGTAAAAAATTGTCCCCATCATCCTTTCCGCTTCCATCTTTGAAACAATTTTAAGCTTATCTTGTTAAAATTAATTAAAAGCGAGAACGCTTCTTTCAGCAAACATATGGCTTTCCGAGCCAATTGTCTTCCACCAAAATAAAGCGGAAACTTTCTCAACGGATGCTTTCCACCATCCGCAGACGATCCATCATTCGTGCTCCCAACTTACAAAAATAACGGCACGTGCAACGTTGAAAAGCTTACGTCAGGAGGTTGACAGCGGGTCGCCGAAATTTGCGCTCCATCGGTACTTTAGCGGGCCAAAGGAAAAATTAAATAAATAAAAATGAACCGAAGGTCGACTCCTCTATAAAAATAAATAACAGCTATTTGTCACCTCATCTGGAACTACTTAAAATTCGGCGGAAATTCGCTTTCGGGATTAGAATCTTAAGGCGGACATGGTACTAAGATGATAAGTTTTACTGAAAGAATTTTTCAATTACAGCAGTATATCCGTGGGTAGTACGTTCTTAGATCAACAAAGGTTACATGAAATGGCGAAGAATACCAAGTGCTATGTATAAAAAGTGTCCACAAAGTTTTAAAGCTATATATTCAAGAGTGAAACCTGAAGAAAGCAGCGTTCCCATTGTTTGGTTTCCTATACACATTCCTTTCAGAGAATGAATGGGGTTATTAAACATAATTGTATTCATTCTAAAATATGCAATAAGAAAAACGAAACAAAACAAGAATAATAACGACATTTTAGGAAGCTCGTTTATGGCTTTTAAACTGCGCAATTCGCCGAACAACTATATATTGATTAAATTTAAACTATAAAATTAAGATCTGATGCTTTATCGAATGGCAACATCGATTCATACGCGCCAAGTTGTGTGAAAGTTAAAACTTCCGTGCAATGGCAAAACTTCTCAAACAGCATGTGTAATAAAAAGCATAGGAGATAGCGTAAAGCAACATAACGTAAGGTAATTGTCCAGTACTCCGCTAGGAAAATTTTCTTATATCCAAAAGCACCATAAATGAGTTATCATCAACTAGGAATTAAATTAAATCTGTTGCTCCTGGATATTTTAAAATTTCAGGTTGCAAAGAATTCTCAATACCTCTAACATAAACCATCAAATACAAACGCAAACCCAGCAAAGTGAAATGACCTAAATTTTATAAATCAAGGTTAGAAGGCCGGGGAGAATCAAAATCAAGCAAATTTTAATATAAAAATTTGTAGAAAATTTGCAAAGTAAAAATCAAGCAAATTTCAAATAATCATGCTTCAGTATTGAAGAGAATCCAGTAAAAATCAAGTAAATTTCACACAAACATTTTTGAATATTAATGAAGTAAATCTTATATAAGGACTTAGTAATTTCGTCTATTCCAGATAGATTTAAGTTCACAATTTCGTAGATAACTTTTATTTAAGGTAGAAAATCTAGCAAAATCAAGTATATTTTAGTTAATCTCATTCGAATACTGAAGAAACTCTCACTCACCTCTTGTCCCATGGTGTCTCTGTACCTTCGCCACCTGGATAGGCCGGGTCTCCAATACTCCAGCATGTACTCCTCCGCGTACTCGAGACCTACTCCGTTCCCAAACCTGCCTTGAGTGGCTACTTCAGTGATGACATGCACAGAATTAAGGTTGATCTCTAGATGTTCTGAAACTTCCTTTGAGATTTGCGGTTTTGGACACCAAGCGCCACCCTGGATGTCTTTATTTAGCCTGTGGGTATGAAAGGTCATAAAATTTTATTAGTTTTGTTCAAAATATCAGGAATTTAAAAAATAATTTAGATAGTAATTTAAAACAAACATCAAGAATAGTTATATTTATATTTGTGCGAAAAGGATGGTTTGGTTGGTTTAGTAGATTACGGCAAAGCACACTAGGGCTATCTGCCGAAATGTAGGGATGCCTTCGCGGAGAACTTTCTAAAGGAAACTGGCTCGTATACATGTTACACATGGGGAAAACCACACCAGGAAAATGCAGCCAGCCCGTTCGCCTGGAATGGAGCCCAGGTTAATGCAAAAAGTAATATAAATTAATGTATATGTTACCGGAAAAGTATGAAATCCGGCATTCTATAGAATACCTAGGCATTTTACAGAATGCCGAAAACTGGCCGGCAATGTATAAGACGATTTAACATTTCACACATTCCATAGAATGCCAAATGACAAACCGGCAGAGCATGAAGTACATCTGTGATTCGTTTCGAATATCCGAAACTATTTAACAACAGTTAATGTTGTTGTTGTTTTGTCCAAGGAGTCAGTGCAGATAAGTCAAATAGGACCAAAAGTATCCAGACTAGCCGCAGCAACATCAATAATTTTTGAAGAATATAGGAGTTGGTGCGAGAGAGCTATATGTATACTGAACAGCTTGGCCAAAATAGCAGGACAGTCGAAGAGATGGTTTGGAGAAAGTTCGATATCACAGTGAGGACAGCTATTATAATTCCGTTGGCCATCAGAGGATAGCTTCATTCCTTTCAAGTGCTGTGTCCTCAGTCTGGCTGTGGTAATGGAAATGACATGGTTACAATTTAGGGCAGGAATGGAATTCTTCTTGATTGATTGGGAGTTAAATCTTCGGCTGGATACTGCGTCAGCATCGGTAGCATCGGTAGGGGTTAAGCTGTTGGAAAATTGAGAACTATTTTGGGCGTCTTTGGCGAGGCCATCAGCCTGCTCATTTCCGTAAATATTAACATGCGCTGATATCCACTGTAGTGTGCAGGTCCTTTGGGCTGCAGTAGTTTTGTTCATGAGCATGATAATGTCCTGGGTAAGTTGAGAGTTGCCCTCTAGGATGGCTTGGAGCGCAAATTTAGAATCAGAGAATAAGGCCGCTAGAGTTCTAGATTGCCTTGGAATGGTAGATATCTAAAGCCTTTTTGATGGCCTCGAGTTCGCACGTATAAATAATGATGTATGTAGAAATAGATTCTTCCACTCCATTAACTTCTAATTCAATTCAGCAAGGCATGATGACGTAGCGCAGCTTGCATAGCAGCAAACGACTACAAGACTTGGTGGGAAACAGACGGTTTCCTTGGAGGCTGAAGTTCCTTGTGTTACAAGCGGACGATGCTTGTCTATTGCCTATAGTTAGCCATATAAAAGGGCAGATGGGCCCTTGAATGTATTTATTGAAGACTGTGTGTTAGTCATCATCGTCATTGAATCCTGTAGAACTGTTGGATTGAGTATAATTATTGTGATATCACCTGCAATATTAATTTTTACTTAATTTACCTTTTTATTACTTTTATTTATTTCTTATTAGTAAAATAAAGCAGGCAGTAATTATGCTTAAAATAATGCTCTAACATGTTCTTATGAAAGTAAACTCAACATGTATAAAAGGTCAAAATGTAAGAAGGAACCACAGCACTATTGGTTGCTGAAATGCTATGATCTGATGTTTGTGGAAAACAAAAATTAACTCATTTATCGTTCTAAAGTAGATGCCAGTACTGTACAGCATCACGTCACTGACACTAAGTTATTTTACATACGTCATGAAACTCAATTAGCTATAGAACACGGAGGACGTGTCAGAATGTTGAAAGAACTTTCAGACAAATACAAAACCTTTACACGTAATTACATTGAACTGTACATCAACCTTTGTGATCCCCGTAAGAAAAAAAAAAAAAAAAAAAAAAAAAAGACTTTTGTGAAATCTATGATTTTTTCTGAACTTAATTCCCTTTGTCAGATGACCTTAACTGGATTGCCAATCCCAATAAGATACAAAATACATATGTATTATGGGATACCAAGAAAGTCTCACTAATTTCTAACGTATTTTGAATAAAAGTTTTTTAATGACAATCTTTCATTAATTTTTCAAAACAGCCTTTGTATTTTTGAGGAATGAACGCCTTTAAAATAATTGCCTTATCTTCACCTTTTTCTCATACTTCGCTTAATAATGCCTAGGTAAAATAATTCTCGTGTTTCATACTTTGTCTAAAAATTCCAGGCATTCTATAAAATGTCTAGGTATTTCATACAATGCCGACGTTTCATATTTCGCCGGGATTGTATAGAATACCTAGACACTTGTATACTGGTAACATATACAATCTGTACTTTTTGAATAGACTATACTCTGTACTACATAACTCTGCAGTTTTCGAACATACTATACTCTGTTCTCTGCACTATATAACTCTGTACTTTTTTAATAATTGGAATTTTTATACACATTTTATTCAAGCTAGGTAAATATAAATAACGCATAATTTATACATTAAGTTTACCAAAAGAACATATATATATATATATATATATATATATATATAAACATATACATTAAGTTTACCAAATGAAACGAATGCTAAATTTTTCCATTCTCCATTTGTGACTCAACTTATCCACCTTATAGTGTTCTTGGTATTTAAAAGTATTTCTAATTGAGATATTTACGAGAGAAATATTATATAAGTACGTACACAGAGTTTTAGGAAAAATTTCATGATAAACCGAAAGTTTAAGTAAACAACACCATTAGTTCTTAAACTTCAGTAAGAAATCCTTGTCAGTTCTACAACGCTTTGCATATTCATATACCTGCTCGATTAGCTTATCGCTTTCAAACACTGTTTATGAGAGTTCCAAATCCTTTAAGCAATATTTAAATGACATTAGGGAAAAGAAAATAGTTTGAAGACGCCATAATCTGGTTAATAAGGGCTGTGGTGACTCAGAGTTGTTACAGTTTCCTTTGCTAGAAGCACTTTGACGAGCTCTCGTGAGCTGTGTAATAGTGCATTTTCGCGGAGAAAAAACTTGTTATTCCACTGAGCTTTTCCAGGCCTAATACGCTAACTTCTTTCCAAAAGTTTTTTTCCATTACGGCTTCATAAACTACGAAATTCACCGTGTGTGCCATAGAAAAGGTATCTCATGTGGACACCACATGTATGGCCTATTAAATTATACATATTTTATGCTGCACTTCATTGAAACTTATTTCTAGGAATTTCATCAGAGATATATTTCTTATTCAATCAATTCAGTTCTCACTTCGCGTCAAGGCAAAAATACATAAAATCTCAAAATATTTTCATTAAAATATGAAAAATACAGAAAAAACTAAAACACCAAATTCGGTTAAAAAAGAATTTTTACAATTAAAGTAGGAGTTTCTAAGAACAAGCAATTCGGCCAACGGGCAGGAAGACAAAAATTTTGGTGCATAAAACTGAAAATTTAATTTTGGTCCCACTCGGCAGGTGACGGGTGAAAGCGGCACCGGACAACTTACATAGACTATTCGAGTATTGTCCAGAGCCAATTCTCTGAGTGATTCTCTGATTCTCTTAGTAAGTAATTTGCCTTCATGGACCTCAAAAAATTGACCACTCTAAAAGGTTAATAAGGTTAATTTATAGAATTCCTCATTTTTATTCTGCTAAATGAAGAGCCAAGGAACCTAGAGAACTGTTAAGGGAATTATCACTTAGTTCAAGGAACAGAAAGCATAAACTCAAGAAGGGTTAATTACCCTTAATTCACTCAAAATAAGATTCACAGTCAGCCCCTTACTTTGGTCTAACAGCAAAGCGTCCACTTGGGCTTAAACTCAAAAGCAAGAAAATTACTATATCTAACTAAGAGAAGAAGAAGGTTTGGGCATTCCCCGTATCGAGAACTCAATCTCATTCCGGGTCCACTCCCCCTTAGGCCACATCGTGGTGGTTCAACCTCCACTATTACCCCTTAGGAGAGCAGCGCACCACCTGGAGCAAGCCCCAGGCAGCACCGGTCGTCTAATGCTCCTACTAGTCGCTTGGGCGAGCCCGTCGCAGCGGGACATTACCCCAGCGACCCCGGGGAAGACCACCGGGTTACTAGTACCACGCCGCGCTAGGACGTGCCAGACTCCGGGGCCGGCCAATAAGTGACCTTTCCCAGAGCCTTCAGAACCACCAAGTTCATAAATTTTATACCCCCGTGGCCGAGACTGCCTAGGTACAGATCCTAGCCAGTAGCTTCGCAGAATTCTCTACGTCGAGCCCCGGGGGGATATCTAACTAAGAGATGTAGCCGAAGCTAACACAATTTTAAAGTAGTTAGCCCGTAATAGGAACTAGCCGGCCAACTATCAAAAGGCACGTAATAATGCGGCCGACCGTAAACACAGCTCAGAGAAACGTAGCCCAAAGGGCAATCACACGCTACTCAGGATTCCTAACTCTTTCGAAGTCAGCTTAACTTTACTTTAATACTCTTTCTTCCTCATTTGCATTCAACGCAATTCTGAAAACTCATTCTGGTAGAGAGTTGTCAGTTGAAACGAGGTAAGATAGGAAAGGTTTACTAAATTAAAATAACTGTTATAAAATTAAAATATACCTTAAAGTTTCCAATAAAACATCCTCCAGGAAAGCAGTTTTCTCTTTAGACAGATAATATCCATGTGCTTATTGAAATTAAAAAGAAAACGGAAAACCTATGTTTTGCCTAATGGCAACAATCCGAACACTAATTAATCAAAAAGCAGAATGAAAAAAAAAAAAAAAAAAAAGAAGAAGAAGTATGTTTCGCTGACTGCCGGCCCTTAGTAAGGCAAGTATGTGATATTTCGATGGCAGCATAATGTAAAATAACGATTTAAAAATTACGGGAAGACACCGTTAAAGACGTTTTCAACGCAAAAAAGAACAGAAAAATGCGAAATAACATCTATCTATCTATACATTA